TAATTATTTATCGGCATTTACGTGCTACACATGGAGGATAATATCACACATAAATATCCAAAGATGTACTCCATCATATTAAAGATCATTTCTTTAATGTAGTATCTAATACCTAATAAATGAATGTTTGGGGCAAATATGGATAGCATCTAAAGGATTTAGATAAACAGAAAAAATGCTGGTTATGTAAACGTATACATTTAAAATGAATGTAAACATGGAAATTCTGTGCACTGGCACATGACTGGATTGCTTTAATTATAATCTTGACATAATGCTTCTAATAAAAGATAGAGCATTGTTGATTATGTGACTGTTTTAATAGACAATATAACTATCTTCCTCATTATCCTATGAGATAAAATGTCTGCATTTACTGACCAGATTCATTTCTAAAACGTTTTTGTCATTTCTGAAAATGTAAGTCACACAAAATATTAGCCCAGGAAAGCGATGCAAATTCTTCAAAAATGTGATGTTTCTTAACTTACTATGGATGCAAGACATCAACTTTCAAAGTAAACTATATTACTCTGTATGGATAATGAAATATAAAGTATTAATCAAACTGAATATAAGGCAAATTTATTGAGTACTTACAATCATCATATTTCTAGTATTTGAAAGTAGTTTAAAATTTTTGTAAAAGTCAAAATTAACATAAAGTGATTCTAACATCAAAGCATACTTATGTTCTGTTTACATACTGTCAAAATACCAATAAACTACAATTGGACCATTTCAAATTGTAATTTCAAAAACTGAATTTTCTTCATGTTAATATATGTTGAATCACATCTCCAAATGTATCATTAAAATGTTTTCTTAATCATAAAATTCTTGTTTCTTCAAGTATATATTTAACTATATTTTAATGACTGACTGGCATTTAATCATAGTTCTCAAACAAAATTAAGTACCAATCATGAAATCTGACAATGTGACTTTTATATAGATAGATAAAAAGAGATGATATTAAAATGTGTTGGTTTTCAAATTTATTGAATACCAGTTTTTAATTTAATAATTTACTGTTACATTAAACTTTGAAGAACTTAGTAAGGGAAATCCATTGCATAAGAGTGAGAAAATCTATTGAATATGAGTGAGACATTTACTTTCCAAATCTGCCTGCTTTCTCTCATATTAAAGACTCCAAATTCTCTTGTACAAGAAATGAAAAAAAAATCATAGTGTTTTATCTGCAAAAATAAAGATCTAAAACAGAATAATTTTTCCAATTTTGATGTGGGTCTTTTATTATCATTTAAAAATAATCCTCAAAATAATCTTCCTGAAATTAATTAATAAAGTTAAAGGGCATGATGGAAAAATACTGTGTATCCCTTTGAAATTGCAGTGGGGTAAAGCTTGAGTTATTTAACAGAACAATGAATGCTCTAAAGTTTTAGTCTTAACTATTCTCTGGTAGCTGAGGTAGGTATTCTTCACCACCTTCTTTTCTGGGAAGACAACTTTGTATATTCTGATAATTAGCTAACAGCAAAACAGTTGAAATGGGGCACTAGTAGAGTTCTTGTTGTGACTCTCAGTACTGTCAAAGAAACAATCGTGTCTATTTCACTTATTCTTTTTTTTTCAGTGCACATTAATAAAACTGTGCACCAAATTGAATCAAAATGCCACTTAGTAGAAATATGGTAAGGTCCATGAAAAGGATCAATTTGAAAATGATTCATATTGTATGTTCTGGGACAGTGTAAGAAGAATTCCAAAGGAAAATACTTCAAGTCAGGACTTATACTTTTCCCCAGGTATTTGGCAGAGGTGGGATGTTTATTATGTAGGAAAAGAAAAATTGCCAATGATACCATTCCAAGTAAGCCTTCCATTCAAAAATACATTATGAAAATTCATCCACCAAAAGATGAAGATTAATCTCTTCTTTTGAATAGGAATAGTGTGTCAGAGTTTCCATTCACTGAATATGTAGTTTTTCCTTGCACGTTTCCCCCTTAAGCTAGAAGTCATGGGTCCTGAATGACAATTTTCTGTAGTCAGGCCCCTATGGGCACATAGATCATCTTCTTTGGGCATCTCTCTAAGTTCTTGTGCTCCATCTTTCATTCTCTCTCATGGCATCATTCTGCTTTTATGCCTATATCTTTTCTCTTCTCCTAGTCTTGTTTCTTATCTACCTTATCGTGTCTCTCTTGGGCCTCATTGCTATTTACATCCCTCACATTTCTTTTCACTGAATAGAAAAGTCATAAAAACAATGTTGATCTTAAAGACTACGTTCACAATTTATAGAAACACCCAGATCTTGGGACTGATTTAAGGTACACACATCTGTAAATAATACTAGCTAAAGTCAGAGAGTATCAATTATAAGCATTACCATATTTTGTAATTTTCAGCAACATGATTATGAGGGTCATTTTGCATTGGTAAAATTTGGTAATATTATTTTACCATTAATTAGCTTTTTTTCCCAGAAATTGTGTTTTTTTCCTATCTAGAAATTGCAATATAGATGTCTTTCTAGTTGTTTTCCCCATCTTCATTCATGGATTGCATTCATAGAATATAATTTATAAATGTTTATAATTATCTATTGCAATACATGTGACACAATTATAGGAATTGTATGTAATAAATACCCATAAAGAAAAGAAAATGCAATAGGAGGTACACGCATCATCTCTCAAAGGTGTTTCTTCCTATGTATTTAACATGTCTATCACCTTTACACATAAGCAAATGGAATTCAATTCAAGCAAAAAAAGTTAGTATTGTAAATTCTGTGATTAAAAAATAAATAAAACTTGACTGCAGTAAAAGAATAACCTAAAAACAAATCATGTTATAGGGTCCAAAAATAGCATAAGACCACCTGCCTCTGGATACAGAATAATTTATCATTTTCCCTTCAGTAAGTAGCTCCAAACCATAATTAAAGTTTCTATCTACAGAGGAAAATATCAAAATCACATTAAAATACTAATCTGTTTATTTTTTAAACGGAAGTCTGATTTTGCATAAGAATGTATAAATTTATTCTTAATGAAGAAAGAATTTCCTAAGGGTAAAAATTGTTCCACTTTAAAAATGGGCATTTGTGTGTATGTGAGACACAGAGAGAGAGAGGAGACATGGCTAATAAGAGGATAGATTTTCATGTCTGAAATTGTTTAAATGTAAGTCTTTTTGAATGGCAACAAATGAACTAGATGGTCTCCATCCCAAGTCTCTTGTAACCCTATGAGTTTATGTAATAATAAAGTGCTCTGTGGTCAAAATAAAATTTCTTTTCTACTCTTACAATCTGTAATTGCTTATTTTATTGAGGGAGCAGTTATCCTTTGTGTTTTAAGGCCAACTATCTTCCTTAAGAATATCTGATCTAATAAACCAGGTTGATAAGCCCTAGATATTAATCAGGCAAGAGTTCTCATATGAACAGGTTTCTGTTTAATTACTTGAGCCCAGAATAACACTGCTCAAAGGAAAAAAGAAAAACAAAAGGTTTCCTTGTAAGTTCTTCATTAAAATAATGTAGCAGTAAGCAACAGTTTGTCTACAAGTTGTCAGTATATTTCAACTACACATAACAATTTGGATTTTACAATAGATGCGACAGCTAGGTTACAGTTTTAGTTCATAGGCCCAGAGATCTTATGATTTAAAATTTCATTGTGAGAAAGTGTTTTTGGCAAAACGATAAATAAATCCCTTTGCTCCTTTAACCTGGTGATGGTGATTTCTTGGTTTGCATGCCAATCACGTCTGTCAAACCTTTACTTTTCCCAACTGAGATATTACTAGACTAGAGATGGAATAAACACTAAGGACACTAATTCACAGGTGTTTAAAAAGTCAAATAATCTTAAATATAGTTTACTTTCTTTTTTTTAACTCATTGAACACAAATTGCTTCTCATATGCAAATGGACATTTATTGTATAATGTACTTCTAAGCTGTGATAAGGAGGAGGTACACTTAAACCAGCGAGGCTGGTCATCATCATTAAGGGAATCCTCTCTTTGGGGAATGGGATCCTTCCAACTGTTGGGGGGGTCGGGGCAGGCTGAGAACATCCTCTCTAGAAAACGTACCAACTTCTACTTCAACGCCCAACCCAGCCCCAGCATTTCATGCCCTACATTGCCCTCAGCAGATGACCCAAAAAGGATGATCCCAGGAAAGTGACATCTGTCATCGTTCTTTTTAAATAGGATCCATCTACTTTCCTGAATCATGTACTAGGGAGCTTTTCGAATCAGGCACGAGCGCACGTCCTCACACGCACTTGTGTGAACGCACACACACACCTACGAACACACACCTACGAACACACACGCTACCACCACCACACACAGCACGCCCTCTCAAAACAAACACACAGGATGGGGATCGAATCACCCTCTGGGATGGATTCTAGACTTCAGACCCCCTGCATTCCCCAAATGCTGTGTTCCGGGTTGCCAGCTTAGGAGCCCAGTTTACAGCTCAGCCAGCAACCCCC